GCGCTCGTTTGGGGCGGGGGGTTGCCCCAGAAACGCTCTTCTTTCCTTCTTCCCTCTCCCCGACTTGTGACTCTTCCGTGTCCTTGAGCGGCCGCGCGGCTCCCCAGCACAAAGGAGCCCGCTCCTGCCTTTGGCTCGGGCGCTCATCTTTCCTCGCTCCACACCGGCTCTTGGAGTGGTTTCACCCGGCAGCTCTGGGGGAGCAGGGGCGAGGCTTGGGGAGAATGGCGATCCACCTGGGAAACGGGCAAGGGCGCGATGAGCTCCCTCTCCCCAAACCTGTCCTTACTTGCACCGCGCTGCATCTGTTGGCTGTGCAATACTGAGGCTTCAGGCGAGGGGGCTGTGGTCATGATGATGGGATATGCAAAAGTAGGTGGAGACTTTTCCCCTCTGTTTCTATGGGATACGTCTATGATTTTTGGAGAGCTCCATCTGTGTATAATTTTCAAGGAGGGAGCCGGAATTCATATAGTACTCGTAAAGCTTGGCTTTTGGATGACGCCTTTATAAAAGGAATCGATAGCTGACAGTAGAAACATGTTTCTGCTATGTGAGCCCATATAAACTTTAAGATTACTACCACATCAGTCCTGGAGAAACGTTACATTTAGTAGTGCTTTATAAAGTCCTGGAGAAGTCCAGAGCAGTATTCTGAAATGTGTGTTATTTGTATAGGAAAAAAAGCTACAATTTTATGAGAATTGAAATTGAGACCTTTAAAATTCTCAAAAGCTTCCCTTTCACCCTCAGAATTGTTGCCCAAAGAATCTCCAGGCAGCTGCAGTTTCCTTCCCCATTATGATGCAGAGGGCTTCTAGTTCCTGGCTGTTCTAGATCACTTTTTTCTTTTTTTTTGCAAATATGTTTTCCATGTAGTCTTCTCTTATATTGATATACCCAAGTAACTGTTCCCAATACATTTGCAAAATGATTAGGAAAAGAATTTAAAGCACAGTTACAAGACAGTATCTTGAGTGAGCACACAATCAAAGGCATTGGATGTCTCACTTCAGTTGACACCAGTCCTGGCTTTTCTCCTCTTTCCCCAAAATACGAAAAAGCATTAGGAGCTTTTTAAAGCTCTACTATTTTGAAGTAACCCCCCTCAAAGTAAATAAAATTTTATGGTTCTAATACTGATATGTGTAACTAAGCCTTTTTTAGACTAGGATTTGGGTGGTGGTCTAAGAGGTATGTCTGCTCTAGAGTTGTTGTGCAGCATAAAAATACCTGAGTTACCTCTGGACAAGCTTGTGTGCTCAGATGTGCTGGGTGCCATTAAGACATGCAGGGATACTGGGTTAGACTCTAAAGATAGGCCGCTGCTGCTTGTGTTGCGCAGGGCTAATTGTTCTTCCTGGACAAGGCTAATTACCACAGCCAGCTTCTGCCTTTGGAGTTTGTTCAGGTGTCTGTGCACCACTGCAGTGCACAGAGCAGTGTCAGTGCAGGGAACTTTTGTGCCACAGACAAAGCAGTGTAGACTACTTTCCAGTAGTCTGTCATCTTATTATCACATGTTAATAGAACAGCCTTTAAACCACGAGTCTGCTGTTGCTGTTTTTATACCTTTCAGGTGTGAGCCCCTGGGTTAGCAGTTTGGCAGTGGGCCTTTACCAGTGTTTTCTGTGATCTGGGGCATAGGATTGCTAGCATTTTTACAGTGTGTGTTTATTTTTGAAGCATTAGTAAAAGTTGGATGGAAAGGAAGGAAAAATACTCTGTCATTAAGTCATCTATTTCAGCACAACTTGAGATAATTTCAGGTTTTTGATCTTTAATATATCTTGAGATGTTAACTGACCCTTCTGTAATTCTGAATTGAGATCTCTACCCACTCTGTTGCAAGCATTTCCAGTAACCCTGGGCAAAATGACATTTTTATCTGCTATATCTCACTAACGTGGCTTTGTGTGGGGGGAAAAATGTTGATCATTGATGGCTCATAATTTGTTAATATTTTTTTTTTTCAGCCCACAACCAATTAGCATAATTACAAACTGCAAGTAAAATGATGAGGTAGCATCTTCTCCAAAACAATGTATGGAGAGTACTGAAATGTTCTCCTGGTTCCTTATGGGACCTCTTAGATAAAACAATCACGTTTAGAGCCCAAGAAAGCACATCTTGTTTTTTTGACTCTTCTTTCCAGCCAAAGGGGAGCAATGTCCTTGTGGTCCATATGAGACCACAGTGACATAAGAAAATGATGAAGGAAGAAACTTTCTCATAATGCTGAGACAAGATGCTTCATGCTGTATTATAGATGTTTTTGGAAGTACTGATGTCTCTCAACAGAGTCCCAAAAAAGCCTGATGTAAGAGTGTTAGCAAATTGTAATTGTTATCCATAAAATAGGCTGCAGCTGCCTTACAAGGCATTTTTCTAACTTGCTTCCCCCCCCCCAGTATTTAATTACAAAGAATAATTGGGAATGGTAATATTAAACAATAAAAATACAAAATGTATGCTGTTTGTGAAAGCTGAACTACTTGTTTAAAATAGTAGTGCAGTGCATTTTCTACTTGCAGCAGTTAAATCCAGGGAAGGTTCCACATGTTTAGTGTGGTCTTTATAGCAGAAGAGGTTGCTAGATAACACTATCAATTTGCACATGGTGCTGCCTTTGTAATGAAGATGGAGAGGAGGCAGGAATCAAGCTACTGTTCTAACATTTATGCCTTCACTGAGCAACTCCATTTTAACTTGATGAAATGTGCATTATAGTTGTTATTACTGCTGAAGGACTCTAGGCAGATTGGTTCCTTTCTAGTATGGCAGTTCCACTTCACATGCCTAAAACAAAGGTGGTAACAGTAATGGAGTCGTTTGTATTTTTTTGTAGGACTTCCCTGGTTTAAAAGAAACCTTTGGCTTAGGTTTCTTTTAATGGCTGGCTTACGATTATTGTTGTTGAAGAATTTTAAAATGTGAATGTAGTTTAGTTCTAGCAAGCCTCAGGGGCTTGGAATCAGGGAAGCCTCATCAGTAAAATTCAGGTTTTTATAGTATGTGCCACACTTTCACTTACGAGTTGCAACCCTTACAGTTCTTACTTTCATTGCAAGATCTGCAAAATATGTTCATTTTTAAAGAATACCCTAAGTGCAATTATAAAGAAAACAATTATGGTTGATAGCAGGTTCTAAACTAATATGAAAAGAACAAGAAATAGCATTCCACTGCTATTTTGGTGCTTCATATAATAAAGTTGTTACATATTACATACGACATCCAAGTTCTACTACCGTATTTTTGTTTGTTTTTCTTTTTAAAATTATTTTTTAAAGTACCATGGAAATACTTTGTGTTCTTTGAAGCTGAATTTTTTTTCTTTTTCTTTTTTTTTTTTTTTTTTCCTCTTAGAGCATGTATATCTTTAGGATCCAAGACCCGGGCCATAGGGAATGCAGCAAAGAGCCAGGTAAATGGATCCAAAAAATTCCTTCCTGTTGTCTGACTTCTTGTGTTGAACTGTGGAAAGAGTAGTAATCAGTGAACTTGATATTCCTCTCTTGCAGAGGAATTCTTCAGAGAAGAGAGAGAGAGAGAAAAAGGTCTATTCCTCATTTAAAATAAGCCTTTTTTCTCTTGACCACTTGTCACTGCAATAATCATATCCTTACTTAAATCTCAGTTGTGACTTTTGCTTAATTTGTGAGAAGCTAAAGCAGTTGAAGACCGAGATCTTAGGATATAAATATTGATTATTTGTTCATAAAGGGTAATGAATGCAGCTTAGTAATTTACTGTCTTAATTTTTACTTCCTTCTGAACTTTAGGGTTATTTCCCCAAGTCTCTATACTTGGGGGAAAAAACTCTGCCACCTTTTAAAAACAAACTACCTGCTTTAGGAGTAAAATACTTAAAATGACTGAGCAGAAGACTTCATAGTGACCAACCTATATGAGTTTTGAATGTCGAAGTAGGTGAGGCATTGCTGGCCTTCTCACATACCTGCATCGTGTTAGCGTGCTGAGAGGGGGACAGCTTCTTAGCAGTGTCTAAGTAATTGGCACTGGAATGAGATGGTGAAGGTAATGGAGCCCACTGGTAATGCAGTGAATGCATGCTGTCTGGCAGAGGCTATAGCATTTTCTTTGAGAAACTTGACACTGCTTATCTGAGCTCAGGACCTGAACTTTCCTCATGAAGAGGTGTCTTGTCAGTCCTACTTCTGTCCAGCTATGAAGTATGGCATTTAGACTAGTAAACTCGATTTATGCTGGAATACATTACCCTGGAATAACTTCTTTTAATAGCTTAAATATTATTTGTTAGAACTTTATTGTTCTGTATCTAAAATAGTTAAGGTGAAGCACTGACTAGGGAATAGCTATGAGGAGTTTTTTTTTATCTCTAGGTGGGGTCTGAATTAAAGACCAACTTCAAAGCAAAGGGAAGGCTTAAATTTGTTACTTTCATGTAAGGTTAATATAAGCAGTAGTTTCAGTGTTGCAGTGGCTGTCTGAAGCAGTTGAGTGTATACTATGATAATCAAATGTGGCATACTATATCAGAAAGCCTTTAATAAAAGGTGCAGTGAAAACTGGCTGCATGCTTGCTGGTATTAAAAAGGGAAGTAAGTTTGAGTTTTATAATGGAGGCTGTTTTCCAAATGCCTTTCTCCTGTGTGCTGTGCTTCCATTTTCTTTTGCTTTCCAGTAAATGCGTATTGCTTTAAATAAGTCTCCCAGTTAGTGCATCACAGCCGAACTAAAAAGTCCCTTTCTGGATGCTCTTTTTGTACCGTGCATCTCATGGTCAACTCTAAATAAAATGTATTCCACAGATTGTCACAAATGTAAAAAATACATTGCATGGCTTCAAAAAACTGCATGGAAGAGCATTTGAAGATCCTTACATACAAGCTGAAAGGGTCAAACTTCCCTATGAGCTTCAGAAGATGCCAAATGGCTCTGTAGGAGTAAAGGTGAGTTTAGCTCAAAGTTTAAAAAAAGGTTAAGTATGGTTTACGTTTACCTTAAGTAAAATTTACTGTAAGATGAAGTTTCATCTAAAAATTAGCATTCTTTTCTCCTGTAGTAATGTCTACTCAAGTCTCAAGTAGTGTACTTTTTTTTTTAGCTTTGAGATGTCATTTGAGCTTTCATATCAATTTATTAGCTTTCTGTACCTAGTGTAGGTTCTTATATTTTTACCAGATTACTTGGAAATAGTTTTAATTATTGTGCATGATTCATGACTATTAGTCTTGGTGGAGTTTTAGCTCTTAAGGGAATGTAGACACTAAGCTTCAGGAAAAATAGATAATGTTCTGATTTTTTAATCTGAGCAGGTTATTTATCCTTAATTTGTTTCTAAAGTAAATGGCTTGAAACTGTTAAAACACAGACTTCCTGATTTCTGACTCTGTGTGTGTCTAGCATTAACACTGTAATTTGGAGACAGTGCACTTTGGAAGCCAACGCCCATCTTCCCCACTTACTGCACTCTGGGTTGCCTTGCCAAGGGCTTCAGAGTACATGAAGGAGACTTCTTTTACTTTGTAGACATATTCGTGTTGTGCCTTATTAACTGCCAGCGTAAACATAGCCATAGTTACTTTTTTCTGGGGTTCCCTGCCCAGCAGTGTTTGGGACTGCTAGAAAGACCCCAGTCAAGACAGGAATTCAGGATGTGTAACCTCATATGACACACTCCAACTCACAGATACAGATGTGTTTCCTGGCAGGACAGAGCTGCTGGAGTTGCCTCATTTGTCTCTGTTCCACCTTATGTGCCTGAGTGACCCTTGAGGGAAACAACTGTTCATTGCGCTTGTTCCAGAGCTTGGATTTTTAGCTTGTGTCAGGCAGAACATGGTCCTAGCTTTTTAATTTTAAAAAGTTTAAGATTTTGAATAATTCTAGGAATAACTGAACTGTCAGGGTTTCCTACAAGTAGATGTTCAACCAAATGGAATTGAGTTTAAAGTAGTATGAATTCATAGCGTTCATTAGTTGTGTCTCCACAGGCTGATGTTAAAAATAGGTTTCATATGTCAAAATTACAGAGTAGTCGAGGCAACACATCTTAGAGATGAGGTGGTACATCTCTGAAAGGGTCTTTGACTTGTTATGGTACTTCCAGGGGGAGGGGAATGTGAAAACCAGAATCTGCAGCCTTCAGATGACCTCTTGATTTGATAGCTTTTCAACTTCAATTAGAAGCCTTAGCAAAGTCCACTTGTCCATTGATGGAGGAATAAATGTTTGTCCATGCAAATTGCATCCATTGGTACAGAGAAAAGCTGAGATAACTTACTAAGAGTTGCTGCTCTATATTTCAGGTAAGATACCTAGATGAAGAGAGACCATTTGCAATTGAACAGATAACAGGAATGTTGCTGGCCAAGCTCAAAGAGACTTCAGAAAGTGCTTTGAAGAAGCCAGTGGCAGACTGTGTCATTTCAGTAAGTTGTAATATACTGCAAATCTACATTGCAACACACAATTGTTCAACTACCTAGCTATTTAGAACTGATTTGCTAAAATAAGTAGGCTGTTATGTCTTTTTTTCAACTGATATTTCTGTGATCATGTCAGAAAATGAAATTCTTAAATCTGTGGTTTTTGAACAGGAAATACCTATCCAGCTGATCAAAATACTTGTCAAACTGATCCAAACTGGCTGACTCAATACTAGATAACTAACCTGTCACAAATGGGAACTGGCCTATATGTGAATGTACTATTTTCATTTTCAGAGAGGCTTTCCAAATGTATGTTAAATTCTTTTATACAGAAGTTGAATACTGTCGGGTTTTAGTGTAGATTCACAGTAGCCTAAGCCTTGTGACTGAGAGCCATACTATTTTTTTAAGAATCTGAACTGCCCACATTAGAAAGGACTTAAAATGTTCAAAGTACTAGCTTTTTGATCTATTTTTAGTAAATACATGTTTTTAGAAACACATATAGATCTGTTTAGAAACCTTTTAAAATATTTTGGACTAATATTCTAAGATCTGGACTTTTAAGATCAAAATTCCACTGGAAGAATCTAAGGAACAAAGCTTTTTGGTTCATAAATTTAGCTTAAAATACTTGTGTGGACTTTTGGTAACAATTTTGTTGCTTTGAAATATAATTAAAACATGCATAAAAATGAATTATTTAGCTGCTGTATTTGGACTGCCTTATTATTCTGAGGCTAGTAACTTGTGGTAGAAGATTGTTTAATGGGTACATCTGATTTGCCTGAATTCAAGTTCATGTATTATAATATCCTGTATAATGACTCTTTTTAAACAGGTACCCAGTTTCTTCACTGATGCTGAGAGAAGGTCTGTAATGGCAGCTGCACAGATTGCAGGATTAAATTGTCTCAGACTGATGAATGAAACGACAGCAGGTAAAAGGGCTGCATGCACAAAAATAGCCAGCAGCATGTATAAATATGTTTGGGGGCTGTCTTTTCCCCTGGTTCAGGCCACTGAGTCTGCTAGGCTGATGACATACCAGCATTGCACAACCAGAAGCTTGATAAAGCTGCCCCAGCTGGTACTGCCCAATCCAGTTTGGGATCGGGAAACAAACTAACTCTGCTAGTGATGTGATGCTCTCTGCTTATTAGACACCATGAAAGGATGAGAGCTAGTTAACTAGAGTGTGCTTCCACATGAACATTCGCTTCCAGGGTGAAGCTGCTGGCTCTGTGCTATACTGCAAAAGCCTGAGCTAGTTTGAGAATGCCTGAATGCTGACCCATCTGGGGTATGCACCTGTTCTAAATTCTCACTTAATCCATGTTAGCACTTAGGAGGTACATCATGAGTGCTGCACATGCGTTCTTTTGAAAAGAGATTTTGGATTATATGGAATGTTTAAAATGTTAATTGTAATTTAGTATGACTGGATGTGTAGTAGTTCAACTTACCCTACTGCCTGATTTAGTTAAAACACAGCTGCTTGCCCTCCTGTGTGCTGTTTAAGCAGAGGAGAAGAGTTATGTAGAAAGAACAAATATAAGCAGTATTGTTCTTTTTGTACTGCTTTTACCATATTTTACATTTGTATACAGCTTCACCTTAGTTCACATCAGTAACATCGCTGTGTGTTTTTTCTCCAGTTGCACTAGCCTATGGCATATACAAGCAAGATCTGCCTGCCTTGGAAGAAAGGCCAAGAAATGTGGTCTTTGTAGATATGGGACATTCTGCATATCAGGTTTCAATCTGTGCTTTTAACAAGGGAAAACTAAAGGTAACTTTGAGCTGTACCTGAAAACTTTATATTAAAATTTTAATGAATTATATAAAGCTTTTGAGAAATGACTTTTTTTTAACTAGAAAATACCTGTAGCAAATATCCTGGTAATGCTGTATACCAAAAACTTCTGGTATTCTTGGCAAAACTTTTTATATGAAGAGCAGAAATGAAATATACCAAACTGTTCTGAAAAGTGGTTGACAGCTAAGCATATGCATGGTGTTTGTGCCCTGCTACCTCACTGAAGTAGATCTTTTTATTTGCTAATTATCTTGTAATCTTTGTGAGCTAGTTTTGTAATTATCAGTCTGCAGCTGCTTTAGTGAGCTGGGAAATTGTCTAGGGGCCGTGGCATGGTTTAGGAAGTAACATGGTTAATGTGTATGTATGGTAGGGGAGAGGGCTAAGGGTTTTGCTATTAGGTGAGCTCGGTAGGAAAGCTATCCCTAGATCTGTAACACTGTTTAATGACTTTTTTTTTCTTTCCTTACTTTTGTGTAGGTCTTGGCAACTACCTTTGATCCTTTCTTAGGTGGTAGGAATTTTGATGAGGCTTTGGTAGACTACTTCTCTGAAGAATTCAGGACAAAATACAAACTGAATGTAAAAGAGAATCCCCGGGCACTGCTGCGACTGTATCAGGAATGTGAAAAACTAAAGAAGCTTATGAGTGCAAATGCTTCTGACCTTCCACTTAATATTGAGTGCTTCATGAATGACCTTGATGTATCTAGTAAGATGAACAGGTACTGTATTGCTTGTCCTGATGTGAACTCACGTGTGGTCTCAAGCTGGCTTGTGATCTGAGACCACCTTTATTTTTTCTCACATTTTTGCAGAGCTCAGTTTGAACAATTGTGTGCTGCTCTTCTGTCCAGAGTGGAACCTCCTCTAAGAGCAGCCATGGATCAAGCTAGTAAGTAGGAGTTAATATAACTATCTCTTTTGGCTCAAGAAAGTAACTGGTAATAGTTATCCTAGATCCCCCTAATGATTATCTTTTAATATATTTTTGTATTTATTAGAATTGCAAAGCTAAGTACTGAAAAGTTAAATGTAAGTTCCATTCATCTGCTTGTCATGTATGCATGATTGCATTTCTACCTCCTTCAGTGCACAAACCACTAAGCAACCCTGGTTTACTGACTCTCCTTCACCCTCTGCAATGGAAAAGGTTGGCGCTCTGAAAGCTTCTCTCTTTTCTTAAGAAATGATAGCAAAACTATCATTTCTTGCCATAGCATTTTGCCTATGTCTGGCCAGCTTGTTCCATATGTGATATATACCTGTCCTCACTGATCTGAGAATTTGGCAATAGATACTTGAAATAAGATACTTGAAGCATGTGCAAGTAACTTTTTAAACTTCTTTCCTAAATTAGGAGGAAAAGGTAGGCCTTCATAAGGATAAGAAATGGCTTACCCTTGATTTCAAGCTTCTTGAGCTTAAAAAGGAAAAAATTCTTACGTCAGTTTTCTAGATATGTAATGTAAGAAGTGAAAGTACTAACTTCCACAGGAACTACCACAGCAAAACGATGCCAGGGCTAATAGTAGTTAGAGATCACTTTATGCACGTGTGTCCTGAATGAATAATTAAAGCTACCCTGCTAGAACAGGGTAGCACTTTCCATGAGTTTTTAATGTAGGTTTTGTTTTTCCTGTATTGGCAGGCAAAGCTAAATTGAGCAAACAATGAGATGACATCCCAGATCATTTGATTCTTGTTTGGGAGGGACGAAGTTTTGTCCTGTGGTACAGGGCAGCTATATGAGAACTCTATTATACCACTTAAGCTTATGCACAGCAGAGAGGGGGTGCACATGGAAAATGCATTTTGAGGAACAGCTGTCGTGAAGTAACCACTGTTTGGATGTTTGGCTTCTGCACTTCTGCAATTAGGCAACTAGAAAACTCTGTAGCCTTGCAGAAGGGACAGAGATTTTTTTTGAGTATGTTACTACTTTTCTCCTTTTAAAGTTCTTTAGGGCCATTGATTTTTATTCATTGCCTGTCATAGTGCCTAGATAATAAGGGATCGCAATCTTGTCTTGGTTGCACAAAGACAGCTTTTTGCTATCTTGATGATAACCTAGCACCCTGTACTGTTTCTTCTAGAACTTCAGCGTGAAGATATCTATGGTATAGAAATAGTAGGTGGGGCCACTAGAATCCCAGCGGTCAAGGAACAAATCTCTAACTTTTTTTGTAAAGAAATCAGCACCACACTAAATGCTGATGAAGCTGTTGCAAGAGGCTGTGCCTTGCAGGTATGCTTATTAAAATTCAACTTTGCTATTGTTTTAACATGATATGCTTTTGATAACTAAGAAAAAAGCAAAAGGTGCTACAGCTGAAACCAGGTGTAAGGTCTTACTTTCTCTTTGAACACTTTGTCACAGTGACCATATAAGAAATTACGTTTGGTAACTTGGTGCTGAATGATGCTAGCAGAATAGACTTGCTCAAATTGATAACCCATACTACTGTTTAAGGGTTTGGAAGCTTTGTTTTTGTTTCTACTGACAATTGCTAGCAAAGCAGCATCTGTTACCTTAAATTAGGCAAGTCATTCAGCTCAGATAAGTTGAATGGCTGCTTATTAATGATAGGAAATTTCTGTTTAAAAATTCTGTGATAAGCAGGACCTCAGTGTGACCTGCATTAATAACTAGTCTGCACTCTATTGCATTTACTTTTTTTATTTCACTACATGAATGTAATCAAATTCTGATCTTTATTTTCCAGTGTGCAATTCTTTCCCCAGCTTTTAAAGTACGTGAATTTTCCATCACAGATGTTGTTCCTTATTCAATAACATTAAGATGGAAATCATCTTATGAAGAAGGAACAGGGTAAGCTGTATGGAGTCTAGTAAAAGATATGTTTGTAGATACCTGTAAATTCTGTTTATCTGCTTGAACAGTTTTCTTTTGTATCACACCTCTTGATTTACTGCTTTGTTACTGGGTGTATATTTAAAGCACTTCAGTGAGAGCTTAATTTTTAGGAAGTGTGGCATAAAATGCATGGTCCACCTTTGAGACCTACAATTCTTTGACATGGAACTCCTGTCAGAAAGCTGAAAATATTTACCTACTTGTTAACATGGCTGATGTTCATCAACGTAATTAGGTTTTTGATTATCCATTAAGTTATGTTCAGTGATTTAATGTTATTCCATGTTTCCTACTTCAGGGAATGTGAAGTCTTCAGTAAGAACCATGCTGCTCCATTCTCAAAAGTAATTACTTTTCACAAGAAAGAACCTTTTGATCTGGAAGCTTACTATTCCCATCCTCATGAAGTGCCTTATCCTGATTCTAGAATAGGTAAAAACAAAAAAATACAAATAAAAAGCCAAGCTTAACTTTCATAAACAATGTGTTTGTGGGAAATGGAAAATAAAAACCTTTAGAAGAACTCTCTATCACTGTCCTTCCTAGGTCACAGAAGATTCCAAGTTCTTTGTGGCAAACCTTTCTAAAATCTCCACTGTTAAATACAGTGAGAAAACAATGTTAATGTAATCTTGCAATAGCTTCTAGAAAAGCTGCAGAATGAAGGCAGTATCTATTTTGCTGTTTCTGAATGTTTTAAGAAAGCAGGTACAAAGCTTAGTGCTTTGTGTGGTTGCTTCAGCCTCTAAAATGAATGAGGATTTAAAGCACAGGCCTATTTGGCATTTTAGAGAAATAGGATAAAAATAATTATCTGTCTAGACCAGTATTGGTCTTCCTATTAATCTCCAGATATGCAGGATACTGACAACATACATGGGTGTTTTGGTCTGTGTTTTAGAACTCAGTGAAGTAGTAGGAGTTTTTTGTTGCAAGAGATAAGAGCACAATATCTCTGTTTTCAACTATAGAAAGCAAAGCATCCTAGGCAATATAAATTAATAATAATTGGGAAAATAGGTTTTAATTTTTCTAGCTGCAGCTTACATTGTGGAACTGGCAACTAAATGTACAGTGTATATTCAAGCAGAAAGCTTCCAAATAGAGGTAACTTAAATTACTATTTAATTTAATTTAATACATTTCTGGGATTTCTGGAGAGGGGTAGGAAAAAGTAATGTAAAGCTCAGTTTTCTCTTGCCTTTTTTGAGCTACAGTTTAACCATCTCTTAAATTTTTTTTAAGGGCGTTTCACTATTCAAAACGTTGTTCCCCAACATGATGGTGACAATTCCAAAGTAAAGGTTAAAGTGCGTGTCAACATCCATGGTCTCTTTAGTGTGGCCAGTGCCTCAGTAATAGAGAGGCAGAACATAGATGGAGATCACAACGACACACCTATGGACACTGAATCATCAAGTAAGAACCAAGGCAGAGATGATGAGCTGGTATGTAAACTTGTAAATATCTCACTCCTTGTAATTCTGGTGAGACAATAATTGGAGATTAAATCATAGGGTAAAGCTTTTCAAAAATACCGCTCCCCTCCACCCTTGAATTACTACTTTGGTTATGTAATACATTCCTTTCTGTCAGTATTTATTATTAAAGTACTGATGATGTGGTTGTACGAGCAAAAGTGTAAAAACCAAAGGATTATAAGAATTAGCACAGACTTGTGAAGAATAGCAGAGTGATCTTAGCTATGTAATGGGAATGTACTGAGATTCATTGGTTTTCGGAGCGAGTTTTGAGTGGAGGAGGGGGTGAATTATCTGTTGCTACACATGGGAAGACTTCTTCATTAAGTCTTTCACTTAGGTACTTCAGTACTAGTAATTCTTAGAAGCCGGCTTGTAAGGCTAGTGGGGGAGATGCTAGAAATAAATATGTACCAACTTTGTCAAAAAAAAAAAAAAAGGCAGCATTTTGTATTTCCTGAGTGCATTGGCTAGCTGCTACATAAATGCTGTAGATGGTGGTGTCAGCTCAGAGTAGCCTGTCCATCTGCTCCTCTGTTCTGGAGCAGGGTGGGTCAGCTCCCTGTGTTCGTTACCTCCTCAGAGTAAGTGGCTGAGTGGCCCCATGCAGCAGTCACATTGCCGAGCTGAGGACTCGGCAGCAGGAGCAGCTTGCAGCTTAGAGGGGTGCCCTGAAGGAGCCCTTCTTGTTTGTGCTCTTCTGAAGCTTTGGGCTTTAGGTACCTTGCAGCTCACAAGGGTGAGAAGAAAGCATAGAGGAAGAAATAAAGTGGCAAGATGCTGCTTGCCACTCACCTTGTGCCAAGACTGCAAACTGCTCATCGGAGCAGCGTGCGTAAGAGGCTGCAGAAAGTGGGGAGGGAGTGTTTGTTGTTGAGTAACTCTGGATAAAAAGCAAAATATAGTTTTGTATTTGTGCAGAAGAGAAATGCCTTTTTCCTGCACTGCTTAAACCCTGTCCTTTGCAGCTCTTGTTGTTTCAGTTGAATATAGTGCAGAAGCTGGAATAAGGGGTTGTGCAACTAGCATTACATGATATAAGCAGGCTCCTTAAATTTTCAGTTGTTTTCAGGGACAAACTTTCAAGGGTCAGTTGTACTTTAAATATTAAAAATTAGTGTATCAAGTGTTTTGCATTTGATATTTGTGTATAAATGAAATGATAGGGACATGGCTGATGCTTTGTTTAATCGGTACTCCATGCAGAGCTTCCTAGGACTAGTAGTGTGCTGTGCTTAGTATGAGTACAAGAGAAACTGCTTCAATCCTCAGGCTTTTTGCTTGTTTGTAGTACTTTTGTTTGTCCTAATAAATCTTTTGTTTTACAATGGTGCTTGTCAGCAATTATCTTTGATTATTGAGGATGATACCCTCGACTCTGAGGAGGAGGTTTGTGGTGAATATTTTTTACCCTCATCTCTTGTTTTCTTGTAGAAAACTCTTCCTTCCAGTTGTTCCTTTTCTGTGTGAACAGTAAGAATGATAAATGAGGATTTTCCCTGACCTCAAATGACACAATTTGGCAAAAGGAACTCTCACTTTTTAACCTTCATGGTTAAAGGCTTGCTGAATCAATTGGCATGCCAAACCTTAATAGCTGCAGCATATGAGCCAGTGCTGGAGTTAAACGCTTAAATATGTGATTCCTTGTTTCCCAGAAACTAGAGTGAACTATTTAATGTGTATATGTAATGTGTAAATCTAGGAATCTTAATTTCTTGTTAATGAAAGTAATTGTTGACATTTCAAGCTTTAGCTGCAGCTCACTACAGATGTGCTGGTTAATCTGGATGTCTAATGTTAGTCACCTTGAAAATTTGAGACTCAGTCCCATGTTGTGTTACGAAAGGTTTGTGCAAAGACAAACTATTAAAAGACAAACTATTATTTAAAACAAATCAAGTGACTATGATAAATACAGAGATGCCACTAAGGCCCACAGATTTAGAATAGGTGACCTACTGATCAAAAGTAAAACACATTTTAAATTTGGGGTGCGAGGGGAAGACAATTGGTCATGTACAGTGACAACCTACTACAGAACTCATTTTGTGGGCATATGCAGATGCATGTGGTAATTAAACTATTTCTGCATAAGATGACAAACTAAAACTTGAGAGAGGCAGTGTGAGATTGTAGTTCTGGCTGTTCCATAGATAACTTGTGGGTTTTAGCCTGTGTCAGTGTTGTGTTGCTAGAATGTACTTTACATGCATTTTAGATGTATTTATTTCTAAATTAAATTGAAAAGAGTATTCACTAGGCTTGGTGTTCTGTTATAGAAACAGAGGAGATTCTCATTATTTTAAGGGGGACAGGCAGAATGATTCACTTAAACTGAGAAGGATATCAATGTGGTACTATGTTGAAATAACTGCCTAAACATGGTGGATCACAACCTTTCAAAGATTAAATTGTTCATATATAATGTCATCTGTCATAGAAATACTACAGCAAAGCTATGCATTCAATTGTGTAACTCTATTCTAGGATAAAATGCAGATTGATCAAGATGAAGGTATTCAGAAAAGTCAGGCTGAACAACAGAGCCAAGCAGACGAAGAAAATGAAAACACAGGAACGGAAACAAAAGTTAGTATTCTGTATTGATAAGGAAAAGTTTCACCTGAACTTTTTTGCTTGGTGTTTTTCAAATTCTTTCTGTTAACCTTATCAATTGCAATACATAGGACCATATTTGGAGGACCACTACAATAGCTATCTTGGAAATCTTGTCTTAGTGCTTTCATTTCCAATGCAGTACATGGTGAAGTCACTGAAGCAAGTTTCCTTTATTTAACATATTTTTGTAGTGGAGATGGAATTTAAGGAAGTGGAGGAAACACTATGGAAGAAAACATGCAAGAGTGTATAACTTGAACGAGTTTTACTGACAGCTCTTCAGGTTATGTTTAAACAAATATCCCTGGTTTGGTTCAAAGTTAATGTAATAGTGATTTCAAATAGCAATTGTATAACTGTGGTGCATTTAAATCCGATGCATTTGTAGCTGCTTTATTAGTGTAATTTGTCATCCTTGGAGCATAAATGTAGTAATACTGCTATAGAATATTTGTTATAACTGTAAATCATTTTACAGACTGCTTCTGGAGACAAGCAAGATCATCTAAACCAGCCTAAAGCTAAAGCAAAAGTCAAAAGTATTGACCTACCTATACAGGCTAGCCTCTACAGACAACTAGGACAAGATCTTATCAATTGCTACATAGAAAATGAGGTATGTAATATAAGCAGATGACAAATGAATGACACTGTAAGTAATGGTCCAAAAGTATGTGCAACCATTAACCTATCTTATTACTCAATAGAAAAAACTGCAAGGTTTTGTCTGTTATCACTTTTGTGTTTGTTGTTGCTTTTTGTTTGTCTCCTTTGCTTGGGCAAAGTTAACTGCTTCACTGAGAATATTTGGCTCCCAGAGTTTCTTAAATAGATACTGCCTGAACCTTGCAGGTATCATGTTTGTCATTCTTAAGCTTCTGCCAATATAAGCTCTGGGAAACAATGTGAAGAATAAAAGAGGGGAAAAAAAATCTGTAGAACAGCAAAATTATTAGTGACTTCTAAACCAGAGTCAAGACACTTCTAGTTTTCTGTCTGTGGTCATCAATTCGCAGTCGATACCAGATCCATTTACTGGATCTGCACCTTAACCCCTGCACCTTCTCTGTCCCTCCTTGTGGAGAAGACAAAAGTAATGTAAAGGTGCAGTTACTATCACTGAGAGTAAACTAACAGTCTCCTGTGAATGTGTGGTACAATTTGAGAAGAATAATGCTTCAGCTTGACTCTCTATATGTTTTTTAGCTTAAACTAAGCTTTTCTCCTCCACAGGGGAAGATGATGATGCAAGACAAGCTCGAGAAGGAAAGAAATGATGCTAAGAATGCTGTGGAAGAATATGTATATGACTTCAGAGACAAGCTGTGTGGAGTTTTTGAGAAATTCATCACTGAAGAAGTAAGACATATCTGTTTCAATTGTTGGAAAAATTTTAACTTAAATTTGATTGTGGGATATATGGAGACTCTAAGGAGTTCCTTAGACATGCCTGAATATATGAAGTTGATTCATTTTGCAGAGGTGAAGTTTAAGGCATTAAGGACACAAATATGCCAAGGTCTGTAAGGAAGGATTTTGGATAAAGAAATACTGTTCTGTGGTTGAAGTAGAAAAGCAGGACTGATGTTCTCCGTAATGCTGCACTAATTCAGCAATGCAAGACAGATGCCCTTCCAGTATAAACTTGGAGCGCAAGGCAGATGTTTCATCCCAGGTTCTAAACAACCTATTTCTTTAAGTAAAGAGGATAGACAAGGATCAGTGTTTGCCAATAACTAAAGATCAAGACTTTACATACAGGTGACAGAGTCCAGTTAAGAGAAACTTAACTTCAGCACATAAATCCTTGTTATGCAAATTTCCGTCCGCTTCCCTTTGCTCCAGCTATGCTCCAGGAGTTTTTAATCAACAGAGCTTTGCATGTAAAGAAAACATGCAGGCGTTAGTAGAAGATGCATCTCCTTTCATATAAAATCAATACTGAAGTTACATAATTCCTATTAACTTCACTTGCAAATCAGATCAGTAAAGCTGAAGTGCTTCTTGTATGATTCTGTAACTGTTAATTCATGACAGCATTTCGGTCTTTAACTGATGAATTCAACAGCCCTTTTCTTCACTAGAAGTTTTCTGTGATTTTTGGGTTGGCTTTATGTTTTGACGTTTTTCGTTTTGGTTTTTTTATTTGGTTTGGTGGGGATCTTATTTATCTTGTTCTTTTCCTAACTTGCTTCATAGGATTCAAATAAACTGACCTTGATGTTGGAAGATACAGAAAACTGGCTTTATGAAGATGGAGAAGACCAGCCAAAACAAGTGTATATGGATAAGCTTCAGGAGTTAAGAGTAAGGCTTTAAGTTTTTTTATATGAAACACATGTGTCTGTGTGTGTTCACACAGGTATATGAGTACGCATGTATACCTACACACTAGTTAATGTAAAAGATGCCTGTGTTCATAGGCACATGCAGGTTTAGTAAATGTACTGGGTAGGAAAGTCCAGGTTGTTTGTGGATGTTTTTCAGTTAGGCAATGAGCATATAATTTAGAGTTAAGAATATAGTCTATTTTAACGCTGACTTCTAACCTGAAAACTCAAAACTCTCAAATTAAGTGAAGACTCAATAGCTACAGATAATAGAACTTGAACTAATTGCTATGAGAACTTTTTATAATACTCCATTCTGATAGAGACTGCAGTGTGTGGGTTCTTCCCCACCACCTGCACAGTCCCTCAGGTCTTATTCATGCTGATTTTTTTTTTTAAACATTATGAGGAAATTACATAGCTGAAATGTTTTGACAGCAGCTGTCTGTAAACTTAATTCCTACTTGCAATGGTATTCTACAGTTAAACCAAATATTCAGTTTTATGATACAGTACTTAAAGGCTAAAGAGTGCATTAACAGAAGCTTTTACTTTATTGTGGTTATGTTTGCAGAAATTTGGACAACCTATTCAGGAAAGATATATGGAACACGAAGAGAGACCAAAAGCTTTAAATGAACTGGGAAAGAAGATTCAGCTCCTTATGAAAGCAGTAGAAGCATATAAAAATAAGGTAGAAACAAATTATTTGGGGAACAAACTACTTTGCGGCAGGGTGCGAGGCTGGCTGTGGGTTTAGAAAACACTGGTTTTCTAACAGTTTGTTACTCCTACAGTGTTGGTCACAGGTTCCTGCCAACTTCTTAAATTGTCTGAAGTGCTAGCCGAGAAGGCTCCTTGCTCAAAATACATGAATCATATAGCCATTGCGGGGGGGGCGGGGAGACGTTGTTTTATTTTTGTTTTTCCACTGACTGGTACCACTAGAAATTGTGACAGATATTTCAACTGATGGCTGTTACCATTATTTCTATAATTTACAAGATATATTGAAGTTAGAGATGCTGAGAATCTCAGGTGCCTTTTTGCAGCTTCAGTATCAACTTGTGTTTTTGCAATATGTTCTGAAGATCAATTTTTTAAAATATTTGTAAGAAATAATCCTCCATGTCTGTGTCCTACAGTCATTCTTCACTTGTTAAAGCATTTATTTCTAGTGGACTGGAGCAGTGTTACTCTGCCTATGAAGTTCTTAAATAGGTGAGAGGCATATACTTTTTATACACATCTTTGTCCATAGGATGAAAAATATGATCACCTAGACCCTTCTGAGATGGAAAAAGTTGAAAAATACATTAGTGAAGCTATGAATTGGTTGAACAGCAAAATGAATGCCCAAAATAAACTAAGTTTAACTCAGGATCCAGTCGTCAAAGTGGCAGAAATGTTGGCAAAATCCAAGGTAAAACCATTACTTTTATATGTAGCTTTCTGATCGTGTTTTTGAACAGTTATGGAAGAACCATGGAGAGGGAGGAGCATTATTGCTCATACTCACTCCTAGCTCTTGACTGCCTCTGCAGTAACAAAGCATGAGCTTTGAATATCTCTTTAAGCATCCTGAATGAAAGCAGCAGGCATACTAGAACACAGGTTCCCATAGGCTGTTAATAAAGTGCTAGCTTTTTAGCTAGTGGAAGTTTGCTTTTTAAGTGTCTGGTTTTGATAGAATCTAAGTGTAATCTTTAGAAGTTACAGTTAAGGTGGTTATGAAGATGCAGCAAACTTGAGGAAGTCTGGGTTCATTTAGTGACAGTCATCACATTAACTCACTTGTTTTCTCATTTCTAATGCACTTAGGAGCTGGATAGCTTCTGTAACCCTATTGTGTACAAGCCCAAGCCAAAGGTAGAAGCTCCTAGCAATGGGCAGGCGAAAGCTAATGGTGAACACAACGGACCAGTGAACGGGCAGAGCGGAGCCGAATCCAGGCCAGATCCAGCCAAGGAGTACTCCCAGCAGACCAAACCGTCTGGAGAAATGGAAGTGGACTAAATCCTACGTTTCTTTCACTTAATTAAAATAGTGCAAGTAACCACAGGGTCCATTCTTTTGTCTGGTACACACCTCAAATGTTCAGTTATTCCTAGCCAACTTTGTCATTTGTTGTTGCAGTAGTTTTTTGAAAGTGTTTTATATTAAGTACACTTCTGTTCATTTCCACTGATGCTGCTTATGTGGAGCTTTAGCCAAATGTAGATTGTATAAGTCAGTTCAAGCTTTCCCAATATATTTTATATCTCAAACATACAGAATTGATATATAAATGGCAACAATCTACCTTATTTAAAGCTTTTATTGTGGATAAACCTCAGCTCCTTTATTCAGGAAAGGATACTGTATTGCACTACTGATGCTCAAGTATAGATCTAACTGCATCTTTATTTTGGAAAAATATTGGAATTGAAGTGGCAAACTGTCACTTGAAGCACTGACCTTTTCTAGTTATTGTATTGTTATAATTTAAATATTAAAATAGAGGTTAGTTGGCATACTAGTCCATCTTGTTGATGTACCATGAGAACTATATGGTGTCTTTTTCATATAAGTTGATTATACAAGTTTAAACTTTTTTCAGAATCCCCATACCACTATCATATTTAATCTTAGTTATAAAGTACTTGCATAATGGCTCTGCCATTTGCTGAAGCTAAGTGAGTGGTCTCATTGGACATTGCTGTACATAATGTACTGTGCTTATGATAGGATGATGCTAATATTAGTATGAAGTGGTAGCATATACAAGGACTGTTGCATAGGTTTCCCTTAAAAATGTCTGACTTCCCATATTATTACTTACTGCTCATTTCGTTTTGAATGAAGTCTATCTTGATCACATCTTATTCTGAGGAAGAGAAGCAGCAGAAACTGCTTCAGTATCCTGGCTCTTGGAAAACTTAATTCCAAGGTTGCTTAAATGATGTTTATTGCAAACTTGAAACAAATACTGAGTGAGGGCTTGTTTAAGCTGTGGTACTTGGCATGATCCTTTTGGAACAAGGATCTAAACAGCAGCCCACAAGCTGAGTCTTTATTAGCTCCAACAATAAGAAATCTATTTGATAAATTTCTATAACTTATTAATGAGCTTTGGTCATTCACTTGATTTAATGGAGGTGTCTAAAATACAGTGCATTAGAAAGTTGAGTCACTTTGGCTCTGTCTACTTTGTCCAAATCTAATCTCACATATTCTCAATACTTAGGTCAGTCATGGAGAAATTGAAGTTGCTTTTTTTCCTCTCGACTTCAATACATAACCCAGCCACCCTCATTACAAGAACAAGGCTAGGCTACTGTACTACAGAAAGTGGTTTATTAGCCAAACCAGCCTACCCAAAGGAGATGAGTGGCATCATAACATTTTAAAGTGACTTAAAGTCCATTTTGGTAATGCAGTAGAAAAGGCATTGGCCAAACTGGCATTCCAGTAGCCCTTCTCCTAGGGCACAGCTTACTGCTGTTGTACGTGAACCAAGTGTCTTTGGCAGTTGTTTTATTGTGGGCAGTGCCCTGCTTCTCCCTGTTATTGGGCAGGGAGAGGATTACAGTGCAGTATGTGAAACGCTGCTCTCCCCTAGCTTCACAGGAGCAGGAACCATCACTTATACATGCTGCTAAACTTAGAGCACACCTACAGCTGCTAAACCAGCCCAAGGGCTAAAAAATAGACACCTTGTGACTGCCAGAGGTGACTTGGCTTTCATGCCCTCCCCCTGCCCCGATGCAGTTGGTGGGGGGGGGGCCTGGCGCTCTTGAGTTTATATATTTAAATCCCTTGAACAACCGGCTGGTCTTGAAGGGAGCTGCAGCTATTTTGTAACCTCAAGCTTAAATGCTGCTGTAGTTGCAAGTCTTGGGCAACAGCTCCATGACTAGTTTTGTCAGTTGTTCTCAGTTTAAGGCAGCATGTGACTACTGAAGCTCCACTCAAACAGGCTTTAACATTATACCAAGTGTTCTAAGGGCTTTGCTGCAATAGTGTAATGATTACTATCTTAACATTTAAATGTCTTAAGATTCCGATATTTTAAGTCCTGTAGGTTTTCTCCCTTATACAGGGCAGGGGAAGAACTCACTCACTGGAAAAAAGGTCTTGGGTAAGAAAAAAATCTAGCCTTTGTTTTTAGTCATTAAATATTACAGACACTGGAGACAATTTATATATATATATATATATATATATATATACACACACACATATATATATATGAGAGAGAAAAACAAAAGTTCTGCTGCTCAGTAGATCAAGCTTAAGAGTAGAGAGGGTTAAGATGAGCAGCAGGACTTAGTCCTTTCTGGTGGTGCGCCTGCTCTGGCTTTAGCCCCCTGGGCGGATGTTGCACAGAGGAGGTCGAGAATTCCACAGGCCAAGGCAAAACTGTTAGAGAGTCAGTATCACATTTTATGTTAATAGGCCCTCCTGCAAAGGATGAATGTGACCCACATCTACAATTCTCAACTAATTAGTAACTGTGCACAAGTTGAAGGTTAAATTCTGCTTGTCAGTCTGAACAAGAAAAAGATTACACTGTGGCCAAGAGAATGAGTATTTTGGAGTACAAAGTTACAGGTTTTGCTAGGGTATCAACAGTATGCTATATAATTTTTTTAATATAAACAGCTATCATGTGTTAACACTTTCTAATGTTTATGTTGAAGGCCAGACACCTTTCTTACCTGTTTGAAAATGTTTCTGCCATCCCCTAAAGCAAAAAAATCAAGCAATATGCCATCTTGGAGAACATAATGCAGTTATATTTTAGAAGGGTTTTATGAAGGCAGTTTCTAAGTTCAGATAATTGTGCTGTTTTAGAACTAAACTGTTGCTACTTTTTATCTATAAGATGTTTCTTTTTTCATTTAAGAAGCAGAGATAATCTGCTTTTTATTCTTGAGCATTCATTATTCAAGAAAATGATTTTAAACTGATTTGCTTCACTAAAACAGCTCCTAGCAGCTAAGTTGGAAAATTGACTCGGTTGCTTTTCCACATCTCTTAGTATACTGTCTTTTAAAGATCAAGCCCTGGATTTCATCTGAACTTCATTTGGCTGGTAAAGATAGAAGCAGACAAGAAATCTTCCTTGCAGGGCTGCCTGTAAGTCTTGAGTGAACGCTGACAAGGGAGCTGGGCTCTGCAGCAGCATACTGCAGCTGCCTTTTTTTCTTGCTCCCTTTTTGGGCAGGAGCTGACTCAGTATGGAAATGCCTCTCCCCTTGTTTTAGGCTGTCTTTGAACAGTAAAACAAGGATGCTGCCTTGGGGGCCTGCTTCCAAACCTTGGAGGAGGAAGCTGGGGGCTTGAGAATCCATGACGTGTTGGTGAAGCATCTGCCTCGAAACAAGCAGGACTTCCTAAGACACGGCGGGAGAGAAAATGAACTTTCTTCTCCCTGGGTAGTAGGGCAGGGACCTGAGGGGATGTGCGGTTCTCAGGGTACTACCCTTGGGGAACCTGGGTGTCAGACAACTATCTCTTTGCTTCATGCTGAGGGCACTGCTGCTGACCTTACTTCAGTGCAGGGTTGTTGGTTGGTTCCTTTACAACAGCTCTTAACCTAAGCATGCAACCAGGAGTTCTGTATTCAAACAAGAATCTTCATAGCCACCCGAAGTTGGAGGTATTGAATATTTCATGAAACATCTCAGTGTTCTAAACTCCATCCTCTGCTACAGCTTCTTCCTCATCTTAGATATTCCATATTTAAGTGAGGTTGTTCTCCTCTGGGGATTAAGTTGAAACTTACTACTTTCAACTTTAAGTTGAAAATAGGTGGAGAACTGGCAGGAGTCTTTATTCCTAAGTATTTTTTGACACAGAATTGTTAGCCATATACAGCCTTACCCAGCCCTGCAGTCTGCAAAGCACAATGAGTCTGTCCGTGTGATGTGATTACCTGACACTGGCTTCCCAAAACCTGGAACTATTTACAAACATACTCAGTCTCTGGATCAAAGCAGCCAGCTTAGCTGCTATGGAAAGAGAGTCTAAAACTTAATTCCCCCAGATCAGTTCTAACATGAACCACTTTTCTCAAAACAAGGCTTTGATTTTTGTGTTACCACCCTGTAATACCTTAAGTGTCTGTTCTCCATGAGCCCTGTAAAGTGAAGTCCAGGTGCACACCTTAGTTGGAGAATCTTAAGAAACACCAAGGAAGCTGCTACTCACAGTTAATTTTCTTTATTTGGCTGGAAGAGCATTATGTTGCCCCTTGCACTTTTTTCATTACACAAAATTTCCTAGAATTGACTTCAGGCACTGGAAGGCCTGAAGAGGCACTATTCAAAAGAGACAGTGGAGGCAGTTTGTAATGCAAATTTTTATTTCAATCTGTAAGATAACATTTGGAGTGTAAACACAATTATTTCTCTGCAGCTGAAATATGAAGTGCAATCACGCTTTACAAATGATTGCAATTACATTTAGTGAAAACAACTAAATATGGCTGTTAGCACTATCTACAGATCCTAAACATGGTTTTGCTTACATGACTTAACCTGATACAGTCATTAAATTCTATTTTTCATCTCCTTGTTCAGAAGAAGAATGAAAAACAGGAGTCTCTGCAGCACGGTAAAGAATTATTTTAAACAACATGCAGTTAAGAGCTAGAATAGCCAGCCACAAATTGCTGAACTTGTTTAATTAAATTAATGAAGAAGGCGGTAGTCACTGAATGTTGCAAAATTGGAGTAGTTTGTTTACATATTTAAACATATCTCTACAGGATGGGGAGGAAGAGGTAGGAGTGTTAGGAATAAAGCAGTGTTTAAGTATGCAAAATGTTGACTATGTATGTAAATGGGATCCTTATTAGTGACAGATCATGTGCAAATTGACAATACTTCAATTTATTTTTTGAATGGCAGTATAGATTGTCAAGGCTGTGTATACTTACAATAAATATATAAACCTGCTACTTGAACCATAACTGACCACCTGAGACCTAATTTTTACATTGCTATTCCTAAAAGAAGCTTTGTCTGTTTTCCTGAATTCATGCAACTTCCCTGTGTGTGCAGAACAGCACAGGTAGGAAACAACACGGTTTTCAGCTCAGGCAGACAGCCCCAGGGTCTGGTTTGTCTCATCCTCTGGTTGCTCTCAGTCCCAGTCAGCTGTTCATTCTTTTCTCATGACAAACTCCACTACATGACTCATCTATTAATACTGCAGTTCTTTTTTTCCCCCAGTAGGAACCCAAACATGTTACTACTTGTGTGTTAGGGAGCTTCTGGCATTCTCACATCTGACATCACATTTATGCATTTTGTCAGTTAAGAAGTTTCAAGGAACTCATCTTTAACTGAATGATGTGTTGTAACAAGTTCAAACCGTAATTCTTCTGTACTTTGGACCACTCGGGGAAATGCCACAGCTGACAATCAGTCTGCTTCGGTTTGCTACTCATTTCCAAACACGGTACCTTTGCAGATACTGCCATTAACGGAAGCCTTCAGGCAACAAACAAGTCTTGCAGCAGCAGCAGGACCAGGATCTGGCATGGGCCATTTAGTGGTTTTAAGCCAGGGTGCCCCACCAGAACGTATCCCTGGCAGGACAAGGACGCCAGCCCAGAGCCACAAGGAAGAGCTACTTTATTCCTTTCACAGGAATTGCAGATTTCTTCATAGCTTAAGATCTTGGCCTGCCTGCATTTTCATACTTCGGCAAATAATTTAGTTCTTGAGACTAAATTTATTTTTTGCTATAAAATTTAAGTACGATTTTCAATACTAACAAAGTAGTAGGTACTTAAGAGTGAGAAAAGGAAAGGAGGGGAGGGTTTAGGTTTCAGGTGGAGATATTACCCCTGAGAACAGACTACTTATTAGTCAAAAGATTTAACATTAACTGCTCAAGTTCTGTTCCCGATAAATGCTAGTCTCCTGGCAGTACAGCTTGATGCGTGAACAGCAAATTTAAATTTCTGATGAACTGTGCAAGACTTGGATATCCCAGGTGTCTCAGGGCTTCACAGGACATGGTAGAAGTTTATATGTTAAGAAAAAATTAAGACATATTTGTGTAAAACAAGCGTACTCTTTTTTCACTTACCAGTGAAGCCCTCTTTCTCTCCAGCACAAGTTATTGGGCTGTTACATCTGAACTGGAAGCAGCTGAGTAAGATGCAGCAGGAAGAAAGTCAAGTCTAACTCACGTGTGAGTTCAGGAAAGACTTGAGTTGATGCAGCATAAAATCCCCCAAGACTCCCCACCATCCTCCTGAAAGAGATTTTTAAAACTGCCATGTATTAAAACTTGTATTGCTTTAACAAGCTACTACATTTTAAATGCTTTTAACTGCGCTTTGATTTCTACAAGCTGTCACTTAGGTCTCCAAACACTTCCCCATGGAGAGGAATGTCTCTTAATAATTTACTTCAAGTGCATATACTACTCAAGCAGACAGGTGAAAAGGGCAGCAAGTAACCAAACTTCTTAAATAACTCTGAACCAGAAGACTAAGTGGGCTACAGAGTCCAGTAGTCGAAGTTGAGCCGCGCAGTCCTCACCATCGCCCCATGTAACACGCGCCGGTGCTGCCTGCAGGAGGGAGGCGGAGGAGGCCGCAAGAGGTGCACGTTACAGCCTGTGTCTTGCAGACAGTGTTACAGATCCGCCAAAAGGGATGGAACGGAGACAAATTGCTCAACTTTGGGATAACTTCAATTCAAACTGCAGTGAAGCAAAGCAAAGTCACCCAAATGCTGATGGTAAATCAGCCAGTAGCAGTTGTGCTCCAAACATGTAAGCAGTGAGAAGGAAGACATTTAAACTGATGGCAGAAATAAAACTAAATGTACCCTCATAGTTATGAACAATAAAGATCATTTGCTTTTAACTCAAAGGCCACCTGAAAATCAAGCATGGGGGACACAAGCACCTCTGCTGCGTCATGTGAGCAATGCAGCCCGGGCTCTCAGCCCGCTGCACTGCGCTCCAGGAGCCACGGGCCGGGCAAGGGCGCAACAGCCTGCTTGTTACTGGCAAAGGCACTCGCCCATCACCCTGCTACGGGAAGTGGCTGCTTTAGCAAAGCTAGATGAACGTGAGAAGCTGAAGGCAGCCAGGCAAAACTCCCCAGGAATGCGGGAAGAGGCTGAGCTGCCATGCAAATGGCATCTGCACCCGAACATCGGAATATGCGGTGAGGAACTACATCTCACATTTCATCTAAAAAGTAGTTGCTCTGGCACTGCGATATCCTAACACCAGCTCAAAGGGCTGCCTCGGGATAGGGGGAATAAAATTGCTTTCAAAATACAAAATAATTCCTTCCCAGAGACCATGTTTGTCACAGAGTTTCTGAAATGAGAGAGTCCAACTGATCGTTCTCATGACTCTGAGTAAATATCATTCTTTGCTTCCTCAGATTAACTCTGTCTTAACTTCTTTATTCTCTCTACAAATGAGCTTGCTCTTTCTTTTATAGTATTAATTGCATTTTCAATAGCAAAGAAGAAACTTACATTCTGTATAGCAAATACAATGTTCTAAAAATACTAGCCAAGAGGATTTTCATTGTAAATTACTCAGGACATGTCCTTATCCACATTTGGATAAGGTCTGGAAGGTGACATAACTGATGGGAGATGTATCAACAGGTGAAGAAAATACTCCACTATCTGTTAGATATGAGCAATCTTACACAATTAAAAGCTCCCAAATCATCAGCAAATTGGATGAAAGAGTTCTGGGGTAAATTTTCAGCATAAAAATCTCAGCCGAGACATGATAAACCATGAAGGTGACCTGACTGCCCTGTCATGCAGCCCTGCAACCACCTTCACATTGTTCCATCGCTCCTTGCGTTACTGGAGGGAAATGGGAGCACCTTGAATGAAGCCGTTAGTGGTTCTGCTCCTTCCGAATCTTGCTGCTACTGCTCAAAAAACACAACTGTGCTTCTGTATCTCCACAGGGCATTGTTAGAAGTCCTAAATTACCCAAGCCAGCTGCTAAATAACCGGACAGCCATGTGTCCTTCCTGCGTTTCATCTGAGCAGCAGCCAAGCAGCAGCTCCTCTGCTCTATTTGCTACAGCAGTAACAGGAAAACCCCAAATTTAAAGACAAGGGGCTTGCTTACACAATTAACCATACCTGCCTGCAGGATTTTCAGGACAACAGTCCAATCCTTGGGCATTGCCTCCCCTCCGAGGACTATCTAAGCACCGGGAGCGTACAAGATGAGGACTTTCAGTGCTTCACATACTGTCTATATCAGAAGAAAGACATTCGGGAACAAATACCTCCCAGCAACCCAACCACACAGGCTGGCAGTTTCCAAAGTGCAGCCTGTACAAGCGTTTGCTCTTGTTTCCCAGCTCCTCATGCTCTGGCCAGGATGAATGGGAGGGGAGTCTGTTATACGTTATGTCTATAATACATCTGTATGAGTTCCTAGAGAAGGTGGTTGCAAGGCTTTTTCTTGCTTTTCACTTCCCTTCAAGGCAATTGTTCACCTCCAATCTAATCCTGAAGTAAACCATCAAGTTGCAGAGGTATTTCCAGTTACAGTCACTATTCCCTTCATACTTCATTCCCCTTCATACTTAAATCTCCTCCTAAATTGAAACAGGTTCTGCAGAAATTTATAAGTAATTTGTGATTAATGATTTCCTTCTAAATTTCTCATTTGGGAGAATTTGATGTTCATTACTTCAAAACTGAGTATTGAATGTTTCAGATATAACTGAATAAAACAGTGTGTCTCTTGGAGGGAGAAGGACACCGGTTTTATTCCATGTTTACATCTAGGCCAAATGACCAACAACAAAAAGCTGAAGCACCAAAAAATGTTTCTTCCTGGCGTTGAGTACAGGAAGGTTATTTTATTGCTGGCAATGAATTTTGGAGTGAAGAAAGGGAACGAGCTGCAGCACTGGAGCACTCCAGGCCAGCCCATGGCCATTTCCTTGTGTAGAGCTACAGACACGAGCGCCAGTGGGAGCCCTGGGCCGGACACGAAACGGAGCTCGTGCTTCCTGAGCAGCTGAGCATAGACCCTGAAGCCTGTCAGAAAAGAGCTGCCTGAAGCTGATTCCCACTGAGTACTGCACATTCCCTCCGCTCCGCGCTTATGCTCTAGGGACTGCAATGTAGGAAGTAACAGGCAGGGCTCGCCCTTTGCAATGGACCATTCTAAACAAGAAGTGAAAGCCCACAGTCCCTGTCTTTTAGGAATAACTTTAAAGCTAATCTGAAATGAACAGCTGAGTTGGTTCTCCTGCAGCTGAGTGGATTTCCAACTATGCTTGGCATCAAATGAATTACGTAACTACAGTTTCTCAGTGCTGCAGAGCAGGACAATCCAGCAGTCCTGCAAATGCTGAGCAAGCCCTGAAACGGTAACATCCTGGGCCCGGACACGTATCTTCCCATTTTCGGGAAGTTTTATTCAGACTGCAGAGATGAAGGTAAATACGCACCATCACTCTGCCTCAAAAGGAAGGTGAAGTCAAATGATTTATTTGAGTCACACAACTGCTGCTAGGGAGAGCCATGGCGCAGTCCTGGGGCTGTGGCCGTGCCCAACGCCAGGAAGGGCAGACACTTCCATCAAAACCCTGGGACTGATCTTTCATTTCCTTCAGTAGAACAGGGCAATGGGCAGCACAGAAATTTCACAAAACAGAAACTCAAAGTTGGAAATGCTTGTTTTGACAAATCTACATTCATGCAGAATGGCCCACAAGTTTCCTTTCTAAACCTCCTTCTTGCTCTTTCCACAAACTTCAGGTGCTCCAGGACTTTGTAGCAGCAAGTCTTCCCTGTCAACTCCCTCATCTACTTGTGCATGGCTACAGTACTAAGAAGACAGCTGAAAATATCCTTAAGGGAACTTATATAATTTTACCAGAGAAAGTAGAGATGAACATGAGATTTGAGATGCAAAGATCATCCTACTTGTGACTGCTTTCCTAGATCTTTGCCTTGAAAAATCACTGAAGAAGTAATAACCACATAAGCTTCATGCTGTGTAAGAGCTAGCAACCTGCTCACTGGATATTCCAGGAATCAGTGGCATTACGTTTGCTCCTTTGGCATGTTAATTTGCAAGGAATAAACAACACGGTTCATCTGCTGCTTGTGGAATCCACACGTATGTGACCCCCATGCATGATAAAAACCTCTCATACAGTCTGCTGCCTGACTAATGTTTTTGGAAAGCTCATCCAGATCCTCATTTAAACAGGATGAGGCAGCAGGAAACTATTTGCAAACATCTACTCTAGAATTTCTCTTTACAGCTTGTGGTGACCAGATGGCTATTTCACAACATACTGGGAGAAGGAAAATCCCCAGGAACCCTCCTTGCTCCCGCCTGCAGTGGAGCTGAGCAGCTGCAGCCGGATCCGCTACGTCACCATGACCGGGCTCCTTCCAGATGCGCTCGGAAAGTAGGAACTGAATTTTCAGCTACCTTCTTGCTACGTCTTCTCAGTTACATAACAAGTCACTAGATAAACATTTTGTCTCCTTTCCTTCAAAACCTCATTTGAAAATAAACTATGGCGACCTGTCTGCCACAAAAAGGGCATTGAGAAATATAATTTGTCTTAATATGCCAAGCTACTGCTCCAAATCCTTTGTAAGCAACTAGGCAAAAGGATGATTTAGATCCTTGCACTCAAGTGATATTTTGTTTTCATGGATAATGTCAATAATGCAATTTTGAAGCCAAAGGGGCAGACAAATGCCCTGATGGTGAAGTATAAACTGGAGAAAAGAAACAAATCTATACCTGGGATTATAGTCTTGCATACAACAATGTAACTGATATTTTGTGCAGCGAGCTTCCAAATCTCAAACTGTAGTCTTTGTTAGCGCTCTTCTCATCCACTCACGTGGCCTCAGCAGATTTCACAGCCTCCAAATTCCAGATTCTCTGCAAATCCAGCTGCTTGCACAGTAGCTATGTGCTACTTGCAAGCAAAGATCTACAAGAATTACTTCAGACAGAGCCAAGCAAAATTTCTGATTTAACAGCTTTAAGGAAATACAGGATAGATTTGGTACAATCTGCTGTACAACTAGGAGAATCACAGAAAATAAACCTGGAGAGAAATTTTAGAGGTCATCTAGTTTACGCAAGTGCCTCAAGAAAAGGAAAAAAAAAAAGAAGAGAAGAAAAAGGTATACTGTTCCTGACAAACGTGTGTTCTGCTTTTCTTGAAAATGATGGACTTTTCAGTCTCATGAGACAAATTCCCAACTGGACTATGAATGAGTCTCTTCGGCAAACCCAGGCAGACTTAAGCTCTGTAGGGACTAACAGTGCACATGCAAAGTGCTAAGCACTGCTGGATCTGGAATTTAAATGAATCTCTATCCCTTACTGATCTACACCAGGAGAACAGAAATGTTATCTAGTTTTCAAAGATATTTCACAGAAAATATGAGGGCTGCCTGAGGTTTACACAATGAGCTTCGGTGGGACGAAAGGGCCATTTCCACGTTCTGCTCAAGAATGCTGCAAAACCTGATGCTCCATACAGCAACAACGAGCAGCAAACTTAAACTCCAAGTTTTAGCTGAAGAAGCAAAACACACCAGGACCTAACTGTTTCCATACCAACTTGATGTCGTCCTGGCTCTGGTGGCAGCTCCGTGACTCACCTCATGCTTGATACCAGAAGAGCCAGGGCCTGCCGGTAACATGCGAAGTCACAAGTGCAGTAAGGTCACCAAGATATGCAAAAGATACAGGGGAAAAAAGCTCATGCTGCATATGCATATGCATATATCCAGCTTATGCTGGAAACCCAGCTTATGCTGGAATCGTACTGAGCAGCACCTGTGGACTGCCAAATGCCAGCGTTAGAGTGCAACATAATTAACCAAACCAGGATAGCCACCTCGCTCTGATGGCGTTTGTGTAAGTAAGTAGTGTAACATTGACTTAGGGACATTGCTGCAGGGCCAGCAACTTGACAGGAGAGTTCAAAGTTGGGATGTCCACAAAATATGTTAAAAAAAAAAGCCTTATGACACACCAAGGATTATATGAAACCTGAACATATTCAATTTATAGTGTTTCACAAACAATCATATTCACATAAACCATTTTTCTTTTTACTTGCATTATAAATAATCTCCTCCACCCACATTCCATATAAGGAGGAAATGTCAGTTTTACAGATGAGAAAACTGAATCACATGGCTTATAAATTTGACTTGTTTCTTTGAGATATAAATTTTAAAAAGTACTTATTTCAAATTACTGGATTTTCACTAGTTTAGAATCACGGCAGCTAAGGAGAGAAAAAAGGCCTGATACTTTTTTTAATAGGTAAGTCTCAAAGTTCCTCCCTATGTGAGCAAAATATCAAAAATTACATGAATCTCAAGATACTTGCACAGCTCTCAGTCTATCACAGCTCATACCCTCAGTTCACATCTCCATGTGGCATCCAAGCTACTTAAGAGAGAAATATCCTTTTGGAATCTGAAGTGGAAAAAGTTAACCAAAAAAAAAAAAAAAAGGCAGGGAGGGAGGCAGAAAGCTTGGAAAAGGAAAAGCAGGCTGTACTGTAGCAACATCACTGTTTGACAGCCTTAAGCAACGAAGTATCACAGGCACAAACATGCCACGGAAAGTTCTCAAGGAAAACGAAAACCAGTCTGGCCTCTTCAGCGCAGCAGAGTATCAGGGAGGAGAGCTGAGAGCTCAGTAATTAAAGTTCAGCACAGGCTTGTGCTTAAGAAAGGCATTTCAAAGTGAAGTCTACATACTGCCTCCTGCACATCCAAATTTCAGTCACATTGTAAGGACACTCGTGCCAGTTTTAAACTGCCTTGTTCAAGTACCAGTTCAACAACATCAGCAGAAATTCCACCAGGTCTAACCTCAGGCTTTACTAAAAACTAAGCATGTGTTACTGAAATTCAGGGACTAAAGAGTGGAACAAATGTGAAGACATTTGGTCAATGTATTCCTGACACTGGCATATGCACAACTTCCCCCAGACGGCCAGTATATTAAACTTTAACACTATCGAATTAAGTTCCTATCTTTCCTCCCATTTACTGAGCAAGGCTGCCTACTACTGAGCTGCAAATCAAAGCTTCACGCTTGTTGAAAGAAGAAGAAACGCAGCTTCACGCTTTTTGAAAATTTTAAACCACAATCCACAGAATCAATTTTAACAAAGAAAAACAAATTTAACAAAGCAAAGAAGCAAATCTAACAAAGCAACACAACTTCTTTAATTGGAGTGTAATGGCAGCTGCTTATGCTTAGAGATGAATTTTTATCCACTACAAGTTTATTCTTGGAGAGCAAAGTCTTATGTTTGATTTAGAGAAGCCGCACGACTTAGGCACCCATTTCTAATGTATTTTTCATTTAAAGCAGAAAAAAAAACGCATTTAGTTAGTGATCAGTTCTGTCATCAAAATTAGCAGAGATCTTACTCTCTCTTTTGTGAAGTCCTGGCTATTTCAGATGAGGCTGAGGGTGTTATAGCTGGGCAAGCATCTGCAAGTACATGAATATCACAGTTTGTTTTGGACCTACAAAGAAAAGCACAGTCATTTCAGATCATTTAATCACTCTGACAACTTATCTGCTTCACACAGATGTAGGTATTACTTGCTGGCTCAGTGGAAGATCATAAATTTTACAATTCAAATAAATATAACAATAATACTATGCTGTATATGGCAGGGAAATGTGTTTCCTCCTATATTTAGCTGGTTTTACAGATTGGGCCAAATTTGTTCATTCTCTATCGACAGGAGAACAGAGTATGTTGTACTTCTGACAGGAGTAGATTACCTGTTTTTTACCTAGGACATTTTAAAATACTTTCTGTACTCAATAGGTTATACTGGGTTTGAATTTGAAGAGACTATTCAGTTATATATGCTCTGTTTATCACCAAAAGCATTGCCTTTCCTCTTGGACTGCAAGTCACGCTTGCATTAAAGTGTACTTTCAAATGTAGTTGTTTCCTATTCAGTGGTCTGTTTTCGCCCTGTGAAGCAGATCCAAACTTCACCTGCCTCACTGAACTCAGTATATGGGTTAAGTGCAATGATCTGAATCTGAAAACATTTATATAGCCAAATGCTAATTAGAGAAAGGATTAAAATATGACAGAAGACGTTAGACGACTGTTGTGTAACTCCATATGGCTTGGAAGCAGCATTAACAAAGGAACTGTGCCGTGGGGAGCAGTCTGCATTTGCAAATAAAACCAGCCAACATCAGCAGTTACACCCACTGCTGCCATGGAATATTGCACAAGGAAAACCAAGGAAACCTCTAGTGAACACCTAATTCGATACCTTAGCAGTGTATCTGGAGGGGGGAGATGAAGTGGCGTCGAGCAAGGATAACAACAATTCTCAGCTACTAAACCACACTGAGGGTGTCCTTCTGCCAGCATACACACCTGTGGACTGGCATCTCCAACGTACCAACCACATCACTCCTCTGTCAAGAGAGAAGATGTAGAGGGACCAGGTGGAGCAGCTTGCGGGGCTGAAGGGAACAGCTCCAATTCCACCTGTGTGTGAACCGGGGCTACAGCAGCTTCTGGACGGTGGGATGCCCCAAACAGAAAGACAAGAAAAGCGGAGGTGAAAGACTTCACAGGTATAAAATGCACTGGCAACAAACTGATGCTGTGGTGTTTGGTTTATTTTATTTATTTATTTATTTATAGGTTTTTTTTTACCAGATCACCTTCTAGGTCATAGGTCCATTTTAAGTTATTTGAATAGTTCATAACTTAGAAATAAAAATGGAGACACTGAGGTCAGATTTGAAGAACAAATCGAACACTCCAAATCAAGCATGTGGAAAAGAAAAAAAAAAAAAAGAACTGTTAATGAGATTTGCTTCCAACTTCAGCATAACCAAGACACAACTGTTCTCATCAGTTTTGTCATGTTGCCTTTAAAATAACACCGCTTAACTGGCAAGACCTTCTTCTGCTCTTCTGAAAGATGTGTTTATTGCAATTATTACACTATTATGTTTAAGGTAAGAAGTGTAATGTGAAGACTGCCGATGACTTTGAACAATAAACATTCAGCAAGTACATTCCAAAGTTAATGATCAAACTCTTGAAAGGCCAGACTAAAACAAGCATTAAATAATGAGTCCTTGCTGACAGAAACTTCTTCACCACTCAAGCCTTCATCAAGCAGCTGATTCTAGACAAGAACAAGCTCCTCATCTCTGACAGCAAAGCTCAGTTCTCTTATTTAAAGGCTAATTCCGAAAGCGTTTGTGTGAGTGGGCAGCAAAAGACTAGAAAATTCTCTTTTGATAAAATTTACTAGTCTTTGTGGAAACATCTAATTCTCTTCAGCGAAAGACATAAAAGCCATAGGAAAAAAAAAAAAAAAAGAAGTGGGAGAATAATCGCTTGTGTGGTGTCACTCAAACAATAACTGGAAGGAGCTCGTCCCTCACAGAGCATCAGAGCATATATAAAAATCAAATACGCACTGCAGTGCAAGTAGACCAGAAAATGCCTCACTAAAGTTTCCCCACAACTGCATAATTTATACGCTTTTTTTTTTCCTTCTTTAATCCTCTTCTTGTCGACAGCAGTTGCGCCCTGGTTCCCACTGAAGCACCCAGACCCGTGGGACAAGCCGTGGTCCTGGAGCGCTTGGCTTGCGCTGCGCCGCTTGCGCTGCTTGCCGAGCTGCAGGAATCCGCTCCGTGCATGAGCCCACCGGCAGGAGCCTCTGCAAGGCTGCAAAGCTAAAGCATAAACCGTCCTAATGTGCAGAATGTGGAGCTAACACATCAAAGCAGGACCGGACAGATACCTGCTCAATGCCTTCCTGCGCCCACACCTCAGCTGTCTGAAGGGAGCAAACGAGGCTTTATGTGGTTTGGTTCCTTTCCCTCATTCCTTCATCTCGGCTCACCATGTTATTTCTAGCATTCTTGCATACTAAAGCCATGAAAGGTTATGTAAACTGAAAAAAAAAAAAAAAAGAAACCCAAAGTAACAAAGAACTCAAAGTTTACCAAGCCTTCTAAATGAGATTTCTTGAAAAGCACAGCAATTTTTCTAGTTCTTCACTGGGTAAGGAAGGATACCACTGAGTCCGTCTCCAAATGATCTCTGCCTTTTTAGGCAAGAGCAAAACTGCTAGCAGAATACCACTAACAGTCAGTAAATCTCCACTAAATGCAAAAGGTCAGCAACTGAGCATCTATTTCAGCTCTAGACTTAGAATACATAAAGAAAAGAAGGACAAATCCTCAGCGATCACTATCTAAACTTAATTTCTACATCACCTGAGACCATGGAGGGGATGAGAGAAAGAGCATTCACATGAGCTAGGGAAGGAACAGGAGAACTAGCTGAAAGGCCCAAATCAGGTCCCATGTCAAATAACTCCTCTTCTAGGTGTTGCCGCCCTGATGGGGAGATGAGATAGGAAGTGACACTCACGCATACGATGCAGGTTGTTCCGCACTATTTCAACTCAGGACCTAAGAACCTACTTTGATTTATTAACATTTACTGCATCCAGCTGGCACAAAGAAGAGTTAGTTAAGCTGAAGTATGAAGTAGACAAGAACAAACGGGCTTAAAGTGATTACAGTGACATATAAATAGAAAAGAGTATTCTAAACTGTAAGAACAGTGAGTTCTGAAACAGTATTTCCAACAATTGCAAGATCCCAGATATTTTTAAGATGAAACATAGCCAGTTTATGAAACTGGGTGTGACAGCCTACAACAGCAAAGGGCGGAACTTCACGAGGCTGGGAGCTCCTTGCAGGTCACTTACTACATGAACACAGTTAATAAAAATCAGTGGATAGGTAATGTTGTTTTCATTTAACAACACTCAGTATGCTCAGTTTACAAAAACACATGGGAAGCAGCTTTTAGCATTAATTGGCTTAGCTAGGGAAATTGAGTCTTTACAGCAGCCTTGCAGGGGGAGAGGAAGGTGACATGAAGGGGTAGGGAGGAGCAAGATCTATGAAGCCATTAGCTGCCTTCCAACTTGGCCTCCTCCTTCCCCCCCCCAAAAAAAAAGAGAGCTTCAAATATATATATATATATATATTTAATAGACTCTTTCTCTACTCCTGGCTTTGAGAAAAACAATACCCAAGGTTTAGGGGGATGTGACTTGCTCTACCCAATGAAGGGTCAAATTCATTTTGGAATAACATCATAGATGAATCTTCATCACATAATAAAAAATATCTGTAAGAAATGACATTTCATGCTGATTCTCACTCAAATGTCACTGAAGAAGAAAAGCATAAATCCATGTAATTGTTTTTGTCTACTCCTAATTGTCAAATAGGAAATGCAACTGATGGATCACTGTATGCTGACAATTCATCATCCACCACAGATACACCAAGAATGTTTGTCAAAACGGGCTCAATCTTTGTTGACCAGACTGGTAGGAGAATATGTGTACTTGGTAGACTGAGAGATATTTTTGTTCACAGAATGTATCATTATTCTTTTTGCACCTGTCAAAAGTAGCTGCAGGAAATAAAAATATATAGATGTTAAACGTGAGAAACTACTAGTATCGTGTAGTCAAGACACAAGCAGAGCTGCAGAACAGGAATGATGACAGATCATTTGTACACTGTAACTTTATGCCTGTCTACTTCCAGTTTTACAAATAATTATTCCCTATTTAAAAGGTTTGATACAATTACGAGTTACAACCAGAATCCAAAGACGTATTTTAATCAAGAAAATTAAAACAAAAAAGGCTTACTAAAATAAAAGGTTTGTTCTTGGTCTGCTCCAGCAGGGCCTTTGCTGTTCTTAGTCTCAGACATAAATGTCTTAGTCTCAGACATAAAAATAAATCCAGGCTTAACTTGATCAACTTCACATTTTTACCAGCAGCTACTGGAAGAGTCTCACTGATGAGACACAACCACATCACGCCCACAGTGTTAGTTATACACGAGTGCTGAACACCCTGAGGAGTGGACAGAACAACACAGCTCAGAGCGAAGCGGCGTCACAGCCCGCTGTCTGCAGGGCACAAGAGGCTACTTGCACATACCCGGTTGCGCATCAGAGCAGGTCAAGGCCCACCTCACCTCTCTCTTGTTTTCCCATAAGACCGCACAAAAGAACATGAAGGTACAGAAATATTGCAATCCTATACAGAAAATACTCTGGCCATCAGTTTACAAAATATCTGATACCAAAGTTGCATGCAGCACAAAAGCACTACAGTGCCTACCGATGATATAGCCACTGAACTAGTAAGTGGCCTTTGTCACCAAGCTTTCTACCAGCTTTTCTGATTCTGTAAGAACGCAGATAAGAGAAATTTTGGTCCTTTTAATGAGAACAAATCGGATACCAAGAGCTGTTCTGAATGAACAAGCTAATTAAAGAGTTGAACTTTATCCACATGGGCATTTCTGTAAGCTACTAACATTTCACCTTTAACATTTTGATTAAGGCTTAGGTTGACTTACACGATTTGTGATACTCAATGGTGCACTTCAGTAGCAAAGTCAAGTATCTGACCTCAAAAAAATAGCTAATGCACACAAAATACATCAGATGTAAAACAGTTGCTTTCAATTCCTAATACTAGATGTAAGAGACAATGCCCCAGCACACATGCAGTGATCTGAACATAGGCTAATCCTTAACCACCCTCGCTCTCAAGGGAAGGCCTGGAAGAGCTCTACTGACTTATGAGGCTTCTGAGCTGCATGAAGCTGAATGTCAGGAAGGAAGAATAACTTCCCTTCTTTCTCCTCCCTTCTTCTCATCACTGATGCAAGGTCCCTCTAAACTTTCACATCTTGTTCATACAATAAAATCGAAAGATGACCTGCATGCCCTACTCAAAGGAACTTCTATTACTGTATGAAAATTACTTTGAGAGGAATTCAAGATGACATTTCCTTAAACACACGATGAGAAAGAGATTAGATAAATATTTATGCTTTGATAAAAGAGCTAGCAAAGGATTTCTTACATTGCTAATGCTTCTTTCAAGTTCTCTGCTCTCAGGAGAGGCTGACCCCTGTAGTCATATATTAAACTTAGCAACAGACAAGTGATTCAAGTTTCCTTATACTCAGACAGTGTTAAGCATCGCTTAACTAGTATGCTACTGGCTAAACAATTAGCAGAGGAGGAATTACCCAGTTGATGGAAATCCAAGGACTCTCTGGCTCCCCTTTTAATGGGGACTGTGACATGAAAGAGAAGAAATAGCCAGGCTAAACAATGGCAATCTTATGCAAAAATACCCCACCATCATCTTTAGAAGACTTCCTATTTATAACCTTCTGACTACCCCAAATATGCTACCACTACGTGACTGAACTTCAGGGAACCCATGCCTGTGCCCTAAAGCACATTTGTTCTCCCAACTACAGTAGCTGATAAAAAAGGCCTTACCTGTACCTTCAAATCTTGTCTTTTGCATGATGTCGTCCAGAGTACTTTGCACACTGTTGGTTAACAATGCAGCTTGCCCCCAGTATGAATACATGCCAGGCATATTTTCCACACACAAATTCATATACACAGCTTTTCTCAGTGATAACTGTCAGAGTTGCCCACTTCCACAACCCAGATTTGTTTAATCAGTTTCACAACTTCACATTAAGGATTCTCACCAGTTGTCACATACACTTATCCACAATTAACATTTTACAGCCATTAAGGAGTGGATGTCTCCACAAAACTTAAAGCAGCCTCCTTCTCTGAAGTGGAAAACACAGCTTATTTACAAGACACCTCCATATTTTATCCCAGCAGTGAGTGTGGACAGGCAGTGTAAGCTGGCAAGCACAAGAGAAGGCAAAGTACTAAACCAGCGCATCTCCTTGTGCCCTGGGCGCCAGCCTGCCCTGGTCAGAGTTAATCTTCACGATGATGGAGTGATTTAGAGGACAGACCAATCAACAACAAACAAATAAGCCAAAAAAGTTTCTCGATCAGGTTCACTGTGTAGCCACATGAACAGCCACACTACAGAACAGCAGGAGAAACAGCCGTTGGAAACATAATCAGGTCTGCTTTAGCAAAATTTATTTGGTGCAAGGGACCTGCACAAGATCACTATATTGTCTGAATATGACGACTGCTGAAAGTACATTTGGCTAAAGATGAATTTTAATTTTAATAGAGTAGTTAGGAATAGAAAAGCACATGAAAATGTAAACAAACTGCCCAGGTTATAGAGCTTAAAAGATGTTTCCTTACCTTTAAAATCACCTTAACTATGGAAAGAAGATAAAACAATACCTAGCATCAGCTTAGGGCTGACTGTGAAAGCAAGGATGTTGTAAGAAAGTAACTATGCTTAATGTTAAACATGAAATGCTGCTGACTGGGTCTAATTGCCACTTTGGAACTATGAGCAAAAGCTAAATGAAGGACACAGGAAAGTTAAGGATCTCTCCTCACATACATGCACACACACACAGAGACAACATTGCAGAGCCAAAGGATTCCATTTTATCACATATTCTACATAAAACAGGACATAACAAAGTCTCTCAATAGCTCTGAAGTCTCCCATGGAAATAGCTGACTAACAGGTCACTCTCCATTACGACAGAATAGAGAGAACATAAAACTCAATCTCCTGAACAAATGATGTCTCATATTTCAGTTACTCCTCTGCATCTTAGATTCTCATATATTACTGGTAATTTAAAAGCTTTTTGATTCTATTTTCAAAATACTTGACCTCAGTGACTTTTTAACAGAACTATAACCCAGCAAGAATATTAGTTTTGACTATACAAATGACGATGTGCAACAATCAATGAGTAACATTTTATCGTACTTGTGAGAAATAAGCATGTTGTTATTCCAGCTATACATAAATATATATCTATCATGAAGTGAAGGCACAGGAAAAAAGCTTCATACTGATAAAGTGCGATACAGTGCACAGGTAGTTACAGCACAGTGTGATCTTTCCACTCCCAGACTGTGAGATAAGGAGAACACTTTCACAGCTCCAATGATAAAGAGCAAAAAAAACCCGAGTCCTTCTTCTTTCTGGGGCTGGAAGATGCACACTTCCATACAAGCCCCTTCTTTGCCTGATGTGTTCACAACTCCCACTTCCGTTTTAATCAGCTTTCTTTCCAGAACGTGCACATAGCTGCCATGAATAAAAAACAGGTGCATCTGCTAAAATGATCTCTCTAGATCCCTTAATGCATCCCTTAATAAATTTAGGTCAAAATATCATGCCTACATTTTACAAGAGAATTAACAGCTGATGATGAGCATCACAAATCATACACCATCCCCAGAAGCACTGTTTCTTCTATGAAAAGCATTTTCACTTAAAACACTTCAGTAGTGTTTCAGTATAGACAAAACTTCCTTTTTGTCTAAATTTATGTCTGTATTCAAGTTTCCATTCAATGATTTCTACATTTCATAAGAAGCAAGGCACAAACTACCCAGGGATGTGTCAGGCCAAACAAAGCCTCACCACCCCCAGCTGGATGCTCCAACGGCACGCTGTGCTATGAGGTTAGTCACCATCCTGCACAATGTTCATGCAGTTCTGTCATCTACTTTACGACTTCAGGCCCCACATTAGATGACTCTCCAAAACAGAAAAGTGAACTGAATCTAGGCCAGGCATCTCCCTCAGCGGTTCCAAGCAAACACCACCATCCCACCTGACAGTCTACAAAACCTCGCTGTCCTAAGCTTTTTCAGGTATTTGGAAAAAAAATAAAATAAAAAAGGCATGCAGCAGCAGTTCACACGCTCCAGCTCACACCTCTGCCTTCAGGAGGGGGTTCGGGACACCCCTGGTGTCGGCAGCTCCTCTTGGCTGGCCCGGGGCAAGCAGCCTGCCCCAGGAACCCAGGTTCCTCCAGCACCATGAGGAAGAAGAAGATACAGATCCCCATGTGCTTCCCAATGACTGCATGGATGCAACGAAGCATTGGAACAGGCTGCCCAGGGAAGTGCTGGAGCCACCGTTCCTGGCAGTGTTAAAGAAACCTGCAGATGCGCTTAGGGACGTGGTTTAGCAGGCAGGTGTTGAAAGGTTGGACTGTATGATACTGAAAGTTTTCCAACCATAATGATTCTGCAATTTGTACAAGGGAGAGTTGTTCACCCAGCAAGGGTTGCACCCCGGCCTCCGTCTCCCCATGTTCCCAGCCTGTATGTCTGAGGCAAACATGCTGTGTCCTTAATGCTAAAGCAGCAATGCCGTGTCCTTATTGCTGCACATCGCCTTGCAACAGAGAAAGGTGGGAACGACGCCTCCTGCTTAATATGTAAGACAAATCGCTGAACAGAAGCTCTTACACTTTGAAGGTTCATCCAAAACACAGTCTGGTTACTTAACCGACGAATAAAACTCTTCCACCAAACGATAGCATAACTCTATTAAGGAAGCTCGCACGCTTCATGCGCCACCGAGCGGCTTAAATTTGCGCTCGCCTCGGTCTCCTGCTCGGCCCCGAGGGCCGTCGCTTGGACAACGGGCGAGCGTAATCACAGCCACGGAGCCAGCTCTTCCAAGATCGCCCTCAGCTCCCCTCTCAGAGGAGCGAGACCCAAAGCGGGGCGGCCACGAGGAACCCTGCCGGCCGCCGAGGAA